TGTGTGTGTGTGGTGTGCGCATGTGTGTGTGTGTGTGTGTGCGCATGTGTGTGTGTGTGTCGCTCTGTCCCCGTCCTCCTGCTTGTCCATCTCTGTTTGTGCATCTGTCACATGCATGCATACACGTGACCTTCCATTCTCACACCTCCCCTGCGCACACGACTTGCGTCGTGCACATACAGCACGCGCCACAGGCGACTGGTGTTGCCCCGCAGCCAAAGCAGCCCGGTCTGATGGCGCAGATGGCCGCCACCGCCGGCGGCGTCGCCGTGGTGCGTATGAGTGGTGGTGGTTGTGATGACGATGGTGAAGGAAGAGCTGGGCATGTGGATGTGGTCATGTGGATGTGCTTGCTCGTCAAGATAGCGAGGAGGTCAGCGGGCAGGTGGACTCCAGCAACACGCGATCCTTGTTGCTTCAGAATGCATGCACGCCCTCGCCCTCCTCACCCTCCTGTACACCACTCGCTCTCCTTGGCAAATCGTTGATACCAATGACCAGGGCTCTGCCGTTGGCCACGTTGTCGGCAATGCCATGACGGGCGCATTCAGCGGCTCCGACAAGGAGGCCGCCCCCGCCGACCAGCAGCAGTACCAGCAGCAGCAGCAGTACCAGGCACCACAGCAGCAGCAGCAGCAGCAGGACCAGGTGCGTGCGTGGCTGTGTCTGTGCCTGTGTGTTGATGTGTGTGTGTGTGTGTGTGTCTGTGTGTGTGTCTGTGTGTGTGTGTGTTGATGTGTCTGTGTGTGTGTGTGTGTGTGTGTGTGTGTGTGTGTGTGTGTGTGTCGGTTCATGTACTTTGACCCTCTGTCTGCCTGCATTCGCACCAATGCATCCCTTACTGCCCATCCCCCCTCACCACCACCTACCATTCTCTGCTTTGTCACCACGCTGTGCAGGCGAACCCGTGTGCGTATGAGATGCAGCAGTTCCTGCAGTGCGCACAGAACTACCCGAGCGACCTCTCCCTCTGCCAGGCCTTCAACGACCAGCTCAAGCAGTGCAAGCTCAACTACGGTTCGTTCGTTCTTGTGTGTGTGTGTGTGTGTGTGTGTGTGTGTGTGTGTGTGTGTGTGTGTGTGTGTGTGTGCGCGCGCGCTCGCGCCTGTGTGTCTGTGTGTGTCTATCTTTCGTGTGTCTATTTCTGTGTCTCTCTGTGTGCGTGTGCCTGTTTGTGTATGTCTGCCTGTTCATGCATGTGAAAGTCAATTTGCTGTCTGCATCCTCACCTTGATCGTCTCTACCACACACCACAGGCCTGCAGTAAGCCCGTGCCGCTGGTATCCCTGACCCCACCACACACACACATCGCGCGCCTTGGCAGCCATTCACTGCCTCTGCTTGTGTTGCCATGCCCACGTCACTCAACCCAGCCCAATGACGGATGTGTGCCCACAATAAAACCACTAGCTCCCTCATGCCCTCAGCAGATTGCAGTGACAGTTCCAGCAACGCGTTGGCCCGCAATCGTTGTACTCTGCATCGCCGCCACCACAACATCATCACACGCAGGGCCACAGCAACACCACGGCTCGCCACCATCACAAGCACACGCGAACTTCTCGACACCAACACATCATCACGCACATGGTCGCATTCCACCGCCAACACACACGCACGCACACACATCATCACACGCCAGTGATGCAGCTGTCTCTCCACCATCTCACTGCTTCGTCTCGCCATGACCGGCACAATCACTCCTCGCCTTGCTGTGCCGTCGCGGCGTCCCTGCTGCCACGGCGCGGGTTGCCGCTGCCGTTGGTGCGACGACCACGGCCACCGCCACGGCCACCACCACGGCCGTCCCGGTTGTTGTCGTAGCGCCTGAAGCCGCCGCGACCACGGGGCGCGCGCCCGCCGCGATGGCCGCCGTAACCGCCGCCATATCCGTAGGTGTTGCCAAAGGAGGACGGGCCGTGGTCAAAGGGGCCCGGCGGGAGCCCAAAGGACCCGCTGCCATAGCCGAGCGACGCAGGGTGCTGCTGGTACCGCTGGTGGTAGTGCGGGTTGAAGTGGCGGTGGCCGCCGCGGGGTCCGCCACGGCCTGGCACCGCCACCACCGCAAGTGAAGGAAGGATGGAGGGGAAAAGGGAGGGGGGGGGACAGAAAATACAGAGAGGAAGTGCAGGTTGAATCAGCACAGGTGAGCGTGTGGGGGTGCGAAGGTGAATGTGGATGTGGGTTTGGTAACGGATTCATTCGGGTGAACATGTGAGCGCACTCAATACAAGCAAAGCACTCCCCAATAGCTCCATCGTGACTGTGACGAGGCGGGTGCTGACCTCTGCCACGACGCCTGCGGTCATGGGGGCTCTTGTGGGCGACGGCGGCCTGCCCAAACGTCTCCATGTCAAGCGCATAGTTGTTCTCCCGCTCCCGCCTGCCACACAGGTGCACATTCACATACACGCAAAGGGTGAGTTGACAGTACGGTGCGGTGTAAGAAGAAGAACTTGAGCTTTCTGCTTGTCTTCCAAGCACAAAACACACCACAAGAGCACTCTGCAGACACGCACATAAACGCGCGCACACGTTGTTGTACCTGTCGCGGCTGTCTGGCTGCAGACTGTCGAAGAAGTCATCCTTGTCGTAGGCCGGGCCACCATCATCTGTCGGCAGCAACAAGCAACGCACCAGCAGAAGTGATTGGATGCGGTATCGAAGGGAGGGACGTGGGTTACAATGACGCATGTCATGATGTTGGGTGAGGGGGATGGTTTCAAAAACATCTCCGTACACGCACATTGTGACAAACAAAGACACCGTCATTACGACCAACAACATCATCATCATCATCATCATCATCATCATCATCATCATCATCATCATCATCATCATCATCATCATCATCATCATCATCATCATCATCATCATCATCAGCAACAGCAGCAGCAGCGGCATCATCATCATCATCATCATCATCATCATCATCATCATCATCATCATCATCATCATCACGGTGCGAAAACAAAACCCCAGCGTACCGTCGAGCGCGAGGTCATTGAGCTCTCGGTGAAGCTCCTCAAACTTGGTCTTGCTCGCCTCAAAGTCAAACTCAACATTCACGTCTGCGGGCTCCTGTGTGTCGACCGACACCGCACGCATCCACGCACCAGCGTGGAATGTTTTACATGAATGGGCATGCAACGTGGGAAGGTGCAAAGCTAATACCGTCACGCAAACGCAAACGCAAGCGCAAGCGCACACGCACACACGCAAATGTACACACACGCAAACGCACACACACGCGCAAGCGCACACGCACACGTACCTGTGGGGCCTTTGCTGGCCTCCTCCTTTGCTGCTGGTGGTGGTGCTGGTGGCGTCCACGGTGACCACCACGGTGACCGCCGCGATGATGGCTCCTCTCCCCACGACCGCCATCTGCGCTCTCTGTCGCCTCCTCGCTGCCCTTGCTGCTTGTGGCGGCTCCACTGGTGGTGGTTGTTGCGGCTGCTGGCATAGGCTCGTGCACTTTGTTGGCTGCCACGGGCCTTTGCTGGTGCTGCCGCTTTGGTTGCTGTGGCTGTGGCTGTTGCTGCTGCTTTGGTGGCTGCTGCTGCTGCTGCTGCTGCTGCTGCTGTTTCGGTTGCTGCTGTGGCGCCTGCGCCTGCGCCTGTGGGGCGGGCTGCTGTTGTGCCGGCGCTGCTGCTGGTGCTGGCTGCTGGGCTTGCCGCACTGGCTGTGGGGCGGCGGGTGCGGGCTGCGCGGGCTGTTGCGGAGGCAGCACCGACGCAGGTGCAGCCGTAGCAGGTGGGATGGCATGCTTCACAAAGAACGCAAACAAAACCACGCACGCACGTGAGTTAGTGAGAGAGAATGTGTGTGTGTGTGTGTGTGTGTGTGTGTGTGTGTGTGTGTGTGTGTGTGTGTGTGTGGGAAGGTGTAGGAAGGTGTGTGAAGGCGCTTGTGGAAACCCCCATTGATACATTGTTCGCATGCCCCAATGCACAAACATGCACACACGCACATGCATATGCACACATACACATGCACACACAGCAACTCACCTCAAGCTCGGGGTTGTTCTCGACAAGCTCAAGGTTCACCAGCATCTGCGCCTTGAATTCAATGTCCCTGCTGAACACGGTTGCGTTTGGTGGACGAAACTGCTGCACTGGGCGGTTCTCTGTTCCCATGCTTCGCACTGCACATGACACACGCACATGAAACCAAGCCGCGCAAGCGAAGGAATCCATCACCAAGGATCACCAATGGTCACCAATGATCAGCTTCAACAACTTCCATATACCACCGCAGTAGCAGGCAACAGCATCAACAGACAACGGCGTCAACAAACAACGACGCCACCAAACACACAACGGAAGCGCAACTGACACGCAACACCAACTCCGACACCACTGCGCCCACACCCGACACCCTCCTCCCCCACCAATGACACGTCGACAGAACCCCAGTTCCAGCCGCCACGCCACACTCACCGTTGTACAGGGTGAGCGTGCCGCGCTCCTGGCTCATGTCCTTGATGATGCCCGTGTATCGGATCTGCGCCTGTGTCGTCACCGACACAAGCTTTCCAATCCACTCATCCATCGTCTTTCTCTCTTTTCTGTCTCTCTCGTGTCTCTGTGCGCGCGACTCGCTCTGACTGTCGCTCTGGCTCGCTCTGCAACAACACTACCCTCTTGTTCCTCTGTCACTTGCTCGTCGTCGTTGGACAACAGCAGCGTCTGGCTGACTGGCTGGTGTTAACGAAAATTGGCGACGTGGTGAGACGGAAGCGGGCTGTTTTACCAACCAGTGGTGTGGGTTTTGTTTAGTTTGCCACCGGTGGCATAACATTTTGTGGGAGTTCTGCACCGAAAATTGCCCGCCCAAGTTGACGAAAGATGGCTGGAAAAGCTGCGGTGGTGCCCACGAGAAATCGGCGCCTTTTTCCATGCTCGTCAGCGATCAGCCGAACTGCAGAACACAATCCCCTCTTGCTCGCTTACTCTTGCTCACTTGCTTGCCCCGAGGTGAGGTGAGGTGAAGGGGAGGGAGTGCTGGCCTGCTTGTTCTTGTTCTTGTCGTTGGTGGTGGTGGTGGGTGATGTGATCGCGTGTGCACTGGTGCACTGGTGCACTGGTTATTGGGAGGTGCGGTTGTTTCCACTGTTGTTTGTGGGCGTGTGGAGAGTGGGGAGAGCGTGGGAGTGGGTCGTTGTCAGTTGTCGTTGGTGTGACCATGTTGTCGTTGGTGTGACCATGTTTGTGCGTTCGCCGTTGGTCGTTGCCTGCTGACACGCAGGGCAGGCATAAGCACACACACACACACACACACATGAACCTGCCATGAATCCCCTCCCTCTCTCCCTCCCTCTCCCTCCCTCTTTCCCTCCGTCTCCCTCTTTCCCTCCCTCCGTACTTACGTCTGTGCTTGTACACTCCTCGCTGACACCCAGATCAATCCCGACACACAACCGACACAATGGCCCGTCGTCTGACTTCTGTGCTTCGCATGACCGCCCGCCGCTCCTCTGCCGTGGCCAAGGCCTCGGAGGGCGAGCTCACTGCCCTCAAGGAGAAGGAGAAGCTCCCATGGGGCCAGCTCACCAACAGCGAGAAGACCCAGCGTACGTTTGTGCACTTGTATGTGTGTCTGTGTTTGCGTTCGTGTGTGTGTGTGTGTGTGTCTGTGTCTGTGCTGCTCTTGTGTCTGTGTGCACTTCTCTTGTGGGCCTGCTCTCACTCTCTCTTTTGTGTTTTGTATCCACGGCACATGACACTCCAACAACCCACACTCTCATGTTGTCATGTACACTTGGCTTCCGTCTGTTTTGCCTCACACACACACACACACACACACACACACACACACACACACACACACACACAAAACGGCAGTGTACCGTGCCGCGTACGGCAAGACCCGCAAGGAGATGCAGAAGGGTGACGGCGATGGCGTTTCCGTCATGATGGGTGTTGGTATTGGCCTTGCTACGTCCTTTATTCTCTTCAAGCTCCTTCAGAGCCGAGGTGTGTCGGTGTGTGTGTGTGTGTGCGTGCATGTGTGTGCGCGCGGCAGTGCTGTGTTCATGGCTTAGTGGCGATGGAGATGGTGGTGGTTGTGGGTGCGAAAGCATAGTGGCAGTGGTGAAGGGAGGATGTTGGATTCTGTGTTTTGCCCTGCACACATCACTGGCACACACACACACACACACACACACACACACACACACACACACTACTTTCTCTCTCTCTCTCTCTCTCTCTCTCTCTCTCTCTCTCTCTCTCTCTCTCTCTTTCTCTCTCTCTCTCTCACACACACACACACACACACGCTCACAACACACACACACACGCTCACAACACACACACACACACACACATCTGTGACAACCGTCTGGTCAGGCCAACCCGCCCCCAAGACAATGACGGCAGAGTGGAAGCAGGCAACCAAGGAGAAGATTGTCGAGGGCCGCAACGCAAACCCCATCCACAACAAGAACTTCTAAGAAACAGGAGGAAGGGACGTCCCATGTTCTCTTTCGTGTACGCTTTCTTGTTTGTGCGATGTTGTGTTTAATGGTGCAGTCATTCGAGCGATCATTCTGATCCATCCCCCCATTTCTTCCCCTTTGTCTCTTTTCTCTTTTCTCCCTCTTCTCTCTCCCTTGTCCCTTGTGCAACCGACTAACTTTTTTGTTTCGTGTCCAGTGCGACTGCCGTAGTTGTCGCGTGTTGTGTGTCTTGTGTTTTGGTGTCCCATCACGACAGGTGGCGTGGTGTGTTTGAGTTGAGCATGGCTGTTGTTTGTTGTCGTCGTCATTGCTGGCACGTGTGTGTGTGTGTGTGTGTACGTGTACGTGTGTGCATGCGTATGTATGTGTCTCTCTCTCCGCTGGTGTAGTGACACGCTAGTCGCATCGTCAGTTGTTAGCGCCACTACTACACTTTCATCTGTTTGGTGGTGGTGCATGCGTCCATGTACGCATCCGTGTACGCATCCATGTCTGCATCCGACCACACCACGTTGTCCTCACCCCGTCGACCACACCTTCAGCCGTGTGTTGTGTCAAGTATATTGTGCAATGTAAAATGTGTGTGACATGAGTCGCCGATTCGTGAGCTCTTCTTCGTTCTTGTGTCTGCTGTCGGTTTGTTTCGTGTTGTGTTGTTATTCGTGGACGCGCACTCCTTTTTCCTCTGGGCGCGCGCGCGCGCGTGTGTGTGTGTGTTTGTCTGCTGTCGTGCAGACCAGCAACAGAAGAAGAACAAGAAGAACAAGAGCGAGAAGTGAAGAGAGCAAGCAAACCAGGGTGGGTGGATACTGTTGTGACATGCGACATGAATGTGAGTGGAGGAAAGCACTGCTGGTGGGGTGGTAGTGGCAGAAGGCAGCGATCCGCTCGCTGGCTCGACCACGACACCATGAAACCCTTTTTCGGTACAGCGACATCATAAGTTGCATGCATGGGATGCATGCCGTTTCCGCGCGCCGCCTTGTTTTGCCCCTCACGTTGCCTTGCGCCTCCACTGTCAAGGCACTGGCATTCGGTGCAGCGAAGGTGAGGATAGCAAACGCAAATACGCCAGCAAGCAAAAGGAAGAGCGAAAGGGAGCGTGGTTTCTGTGGTGCGGTGGTGCAGGGTGGCCGTTGCGGTGAGGTTTGGCACGTTGCTCTGGCAAAGGCACGCCAGACCAGCTACTTCAGCTGCGAGCCTCACGCTTCGCGGAGACACACCTGGCTTGCTTTGCTTCGCTTCGCTTCGTGCATGTGTGCAGTCCGCCTGCACTGACACGAGCAGCCGAAGGTCGTGCGTGAGCGTCGATTTTGTCATCTTTGTGTGTGTGTTTGATCGCTGCGGGGTGGTTGCTTGGTTCGCTGGTGCAGGGAGGGTGGACGAATCACAAGCATCCGCACAACAATCACACGGCGTGCCTCTGGAGTGCATGCCGCTAAGCCACCCGCTTGTCTCTCCACTATCCTTTGTCGTGAGCGTCTTCTTCTTCGCTGTTGTTTCCCCTTCTGCAAGCGTTAGGGTGCACACAAGCCCGGCGTCATCCCCCCATATCAGCTGGTTGGATTGCCGCCTCATGCATGTCATGATCTGTGTGTGTGTGTGTGTGTGTGTGTGTGTGTGTGTGTGTGTGTGTGTGTGTGTGTCTGGGCGTCGTTCTGTCTGGTGTGTGCTGTTGCTGCGCCCCTCTCTGTCCCCCTCTGGATATGCACACGTCTGCCTCTGCCTCTGCCTCTGCCTCTGCCTCTGCCTCTGCCTGTGTGCTGCACCCCATCGCAAAGTCACTCACTTACCAACAACCCGGCCCTCCCTTGCGTGGCTTCACGTCCACGTCCACCCTCACGCTCAGACGCTTGCCTTTTGCATCGACCGCAGCTGTTGCGGCCAGCATAGTGTGTGTCGTCCTCCCTGCCAGAGATGGGGAGGGGCAGTGGCACCAACCACACCAGAAGGAATAAGCATCAGGGCGACAGCGGAAGTCCTGCCGCGTGGAGACAGAGCATCTGCTCCCACGTGACCTGGCTCTTTCTCGTCATCGCCGGGCTCGCACTTATCCTGGTTGCACTGCTCACGCCAGAGTGGGTCGTCACGGACACGTCTGCAACCCACGCCGACGCCACCACCGATGCCTATCTCCTCTCCCTTGGTCTCACTGTCCAGTGTAGGCAGTACGTCAACAAGCCAGAACTCCGTGAGTCCCTTCTGCTTCTATATATGTGTGTGTATGTGTGTGCGTGTGTGTGTGTGTGTGTGTGCGTGCGTGCGATTACGATTGTGTGCGTGTGTTTAATCAATCTATGCCACGACCGCCCTTGTGCTGTGACTGCACTGTATTCTTGCTGCCCCTTTGTGCCATCTACTTCCATCCATTGACATGGGTTCCCCTCCCCAACACACAAAACTGCAGTTATCTTCGCACGCAAAGAGTGCTCCAGTTATGGTCAGTATCACCGCAGCTGCGATCACTCCACTCCAGCCGCACGCTGGGCGCTGCGCCTCCTGACGCGACTACACCGGGTCATTCACGCGCTCACACGAAACATACACACACGCATGCACGCGCAGGGCGGGAGTTTTCGCGCGCATGGGCGGAGGAGCAGCGAGCGGCAGCGATATTGCTCATTGTTGCAGGCGCTCTCATCACCATCGCCATCATTGGCATTGCTTTCTTCTGTGACTATGCGGTATGCAACTTGTGTGCGTGCGTGCGTGCGATCATGTGTGTATATGACAACAACAATGGGGGTGAATGGCTTCGCCCCACACAAACTCACCTTGAAAAAACACTGATACCACACGCGCATGCAAATGTTCACACATTAGCGGTTTCTGTTCCAGCGACGAGTCGCCCGCCACGCCATCCTCCTTGCAGGTGTGTGGACCGTCACCTCCAACAGCGTCCATTGTTGCAAACACGCCCTTGTATGTGTGTGTGTGTGTGTGTGTGTGTGTGTGTGTGTGTGTGTGTGTGTGTGTGTGTGTGTGTGTGTAGCGCACTCACCAATTGTTTGTTTGCTGGTCATCTTGACAATGACAGCGGGATGTGCCGTTGCGTCGGTTCTCTGCTTTGGATTCGCCCTCAAACAGCTCGGACAAACAGACGACCCAGGTATGTCTGCCCCTGCATCTGTGTCTGCATCTGTTTGTGTATCTGTGTGCATCACCGTCACGCTGCCGCCCTAACCTGCCCCGTTCCCCTCCTTCTCCTCCTCCTCTCTTTTCTTGGTTGGCTCCTGCCCGCGGTGCTGCCCTGTACCCGTCAGCCGCCCTCCCCGTCTGTCCAGGCGCGGATGCATTTGATCTCGGGAGATGCTCCCTTGGATACAGCGCAATCACAGGTGTGTGTATGTGTGTGTGTGAGGAATGCCATACAGCTGCGTTTCACCTGCCATCTGCCCGACCATGTACGTATTCCTGTAAGACTCACAGCCATTACATCTTCACAACAACAACAACAACAACAACAACAACAACAACAACAACAACAACAACAACAACAACAACAACAACAACAACAACAACAACAACAACAACAACAACAACAACAACAACAACAACAACATTGTGTCCCTCGTCACAACAGGGATTGTTGGCACTGGCGTGCTGCTGGTGGCGGCCGTGCTTGGATACTGCTTGCAAATGCCAGCGACTTCCCACCTCTTGCACAAGCTCGAGGCAATCACCGCCACCACAACAACAATGACCATCACCAAACACCACCTGCACGTGCGTTGAATCATGAGGCGTGAAAGACACAAGAGAAGGAAGAGCGATGGACGATTGTGAGCATTTGGGGGGGGGGAGGGGACAGCGAGTGGCTTGCCAAACTTGTCCGACTTTCAACTCCCCCTGCACACACACGCACATGTGTCTTCATGTACGCACGCGCGCGCATACACTCACGCACGCACGCACGCACGCACGCACGCACGCACGCACTACAAAACTTTCATCCTCATTAACACACACGCTCTCTTACATACACACACCCACACACATATTCCCTCCTCTCTTTATGCACATACACGCTCTCTTATACATGCACACGCATATCCCCCCCACACACACACAGACCACACCGCCACCCGAGCTGCCACGGGGCGACCTGCTGGCACCGCTGTCGTCATCGTCGAGTGACAACAGCTCCGAACCACCAGCGTCAATGCAGTCCTCGTCGTCAGATGTCACGTCGGAAACGTCGACATCGGGCAACTCGATGTGGTACGACCTCCCCGCTGGCGGCCACGATCGAGTGCTCTTTGAACAGTCGAGGGAACAGCACCACCACCATCAACAACAACACCAAGTACTCCTACCGCTCCAACGACAACAGCTCTCATTGCACCAGCAGCAGCAGCAGGAGTTTGGGCACTTGCATCATCGCCATCACCAACACCACCACGCACACATCCAGCACTCAACACCAGACCGACCACGTGTGAGCGGACCCGTGCCACGCCCACCCGCAACCATCGCGCTCACATCCACCATGATGGCACCAACAACTACCGAAGCCGCGCCAACAGATGCAGCAAGAATAACTGAAGCAGCAGCATCATCGTCAACAGCAACAGCAGCAGCAGGAGGAGCACGTGGTGATGAAGCTGCGATGGATAGGAGACACCGCCCCCTCCCTCCACTACCGCCACATGCAACAACAGCAACAACAGTTCAAGTCAGTGGTGGTGGTGGTGACGATGGTGATAACGTGAGGAGGGACAAGGAGAGGAGAAGGAGGAGGAAAGAGTTGAAGAAAGAGCAGAGGCGGAAGCGAGAGAGAAAGCAACAGCGAAGGGACGTGGGCGGGTATCTCCACGATCAGCGAGGAGACGTGCACCCGCACCAACAACTCCATGAAGCGCTGCTGCCATCATGGCGTGTGGAAGGTCGAGGAAGACTTGAACCAGCCGACGTGTACACTGCATCACCGCCACACACGCTGACGCAGCGGCCTGCACAGCCACACCAACAACCTTCCCAGCAGCCCACATTCGCTGTGCACTCGCTACATTCAGCGCCACCGCCGCTCGTCACACACTTTGATGGCGGCGGTGGCAGTGGTGCCATGGATAGGCAAGGCAGCACACGCAGCCCGATTCACACCCCCGTCTTCTCCGTTGAGAACAGCGGCACCGCTGCGGGACATGTGTACACGGCAGCAACTGCGCGGTCCGTTCAGCGCGTCAACAGGGGATATGCGGGCGACCTCGAAGCGTCCATTCGTCGAAGATATTTTCCGCAGCAGCAGCAACAGCAGCAACAGCAGCAACAACAACACCAACAGCCCGTGGGTGGTGGGCGCGTGCAGGGCTCTGTGTACGGCACAACACGTACTGTGGAGCGAATGTTTGCAGCAGAGAGCGAGCGAGCGCATCGCCCGCTCGGCTCCGGGCACACGCACACCTCGAGCCCACCGCACATCCTGTTTCAGTCAACACATACGTGGCAGCAGCAGCAGCAGCAGCAGCAGCAGCATGTGTTTGTCTATGGCAGTGCACAACGAGATGCGACGATGTCAAAGCAGTATGACTCGCCACCCCACGTTAGCACACTTGGGCGCGCGCAGTCACGCCACTCGACGATGGGCGAGCGCACGCATGTTGCGTTTCCTCCAGCACCACCGCAACCAGCGGCACCAATAGCACCAACTGCACCAGCACAAGAGAGCACAGCAGCGATAATGACAGCAGCCGCGTCAGGGATAGCAGGTGTGGCGCGCCCAGCACGACCACCGGCACAACCCCACACGCACACGGTGGATGGCATGCATGTGTATGAGTACCGTGAGAATGCACAGTATCAGCCAACCGAGGGCGAGCCACACGCAAGGGCGGTGCCGCGAGCGGGGAGTGGCGTGCCAAAAGGCAATGCAGGACCCACAACATCAACAGCACCAACAGCACCAACACCAGCAGCAGCAGCAGCAACAACAACAACACCATCTGCGCGAGGCGCCACACGGGCATCGGCAAGCGTCTCGGGTCGTGCACGCCGGCAGGACTCTGCTTTTTATTCGCACGGGACAGTCCCAAGCCTTGGACGTTACGCAAGCATTGGCGAGCAGCCGTTCTCATACACACAAACAGCACCAACAGCAACAGGAGGCGCATTGCACCCTCGCATGCCTCAAACGCGTCAGCAGCAACAGCAACAGCAAACGTTGCCGCAACGTGGTTGGGGTGTGATGGTTGGTGGTACACGGGTGCACAGCATGACACGAAACACCACCACCACCACCACCACGACTGCAGCGCAGCCGCAAGAGAGCGTGTACGAGAATCCGCACAAGTACATTCCCCGACCCGTCAGTCGCGGGTCCACGGATGATCCAAGCAGCGATTCCACCCAGACCCACCAGTCATCATCCGCCACAAACAGCGGTGTGTGTCATGTGTGTCATGTGTGTGTGTGTCTGTGTGTGTCTGTGTGTGTCTGTGTGTGTCTGTGTGTGTCTGTGTGTGGTGTGTGTGTATGTATATCATGTGCGTGTATGTGTGAGTGTGAGTGTGTTGTATGTGTGTGTGTGTGTTTGTACATGCCGTTGTCCACTTCAGTATTGAATGCTCATTGAGCGATTTTGTTTGCCTTGTTCGCCATTGTACCACAGGCGACACAGCGCCTCGGCCTCCACGACTCTCAAAACCACCGTAAGTTCTTCAGAGCGTACCTGCGGTCATAGCTGTGTTGTTTGCCACAATGGCTGGAATTGGAAGCTCCACACCGACGCCAAATTCAAATGTCCACCCTTCTCACCCGTTTTTTGTCAATTCTTCAAATCACTCACGTATCCACACGCACACCACACGCACACATAAATACTGCATGTCCTCCTACAGTCCGCCGCATCCTGCAGCTGCACATCACCAACACCACCGCCATGGCCACCCGCCGCCACCGCCACACCATCGCGTGCCGTACAGCGCAACGAATCTGCCAAGTGGCGGGTCTGAAATGTCGACGGCTGCTGTGTTCACGTGGGACAGCGTCGTGTCGGAACTCCGGAGCAGCACCGATCCCAAACGCGAGCGCCAGCATGAGCATGGCAGTCGAGTAGACACCAGCCCTGTTGACGACGACGACGACGATGGCGATGATGGTGGTGGTGATGGTGATGGTCTTGACACCGGTGCCATCTTGGATGTGCTGCGACCACCATCCGCGATGTCTGTTGAGCATTTTGTATAGCGTCGCTTAGACTTGCCTTCCTGCTTTCCCTTGCTTGCTTGCGTGTGTGTCTGTCTATCTGTCTGTCTGCCTGTCTGTGTGTCTGTGTGTGTGTGTGTGTGTGTCTGTGTGTGTGTGTGTATGGACTTCGTGTGTTATGTCACCGCGGTTTGTTGGGACTGGTTCTCAGCATTGTCCACCAGCTGTAAATTACTTGTTGCCCATGCATATATGCTACCATGTTACCGCTACTTTGTTCCCTTGTTTGCGTCTGTGCTTTATGTGCAGGCGAGTGTGCACTCGTCTGCGTGTGTGTGTGTGTGTATAAGCATTTGGCGGCTACGCACGCTCCTGCCCCTGCTCCTAGGTGTCGTTTTGGTTTGTGCTTAATCGTGCCCCGTTTTGTGTTTTGAATCGCATGCAATGTTGCGTCCAATATTTGATTGGTGGATTGGTTGAGGCTTGGTTGCGTTACAAGCGTGCGCATGATGTGATGTGCCTCCAGGTGTCCGCTACAACTGCGCATGCGCAATTCCACCATCTTCTTGCCTGTTCTACATATTGTTCATTTTCACTGCTTTTGGTTATGTTACCGCCATTATTGCTCCTTGTCCGGTGCTGTCGCCCAACATGTTTGGATGGCATCACCACCCAATACACATTCAAAGAACAACAGAAACACCAAATACACGTTCAAAGAACAACAGAAACAACGGAACCAACAGAACTAGAGGCAATGTGTATGCGTAGAGATGCAAGTAACAAAAGTTAGAGCAACATGAGATGTGGAACGTGGTTGATGTAGTGGTGTTGTGGTGACACGTTGCGGTGACAGACACAACACGGTGTCAGAGCAGGTCTCGTTTCTTCTTCTTTTTCTTCTTCTTCTTCTCTTGTTCGCCACTACCATCGTCCCTGCAGCATCAGGCAGCAACGAGACAATGAGCACAACTATTTTGATTTCGTCCAACACACGAACGAGCCCAGGACAAACGGCACACACACGTGTGGTGAAAGCGGCAACCCCTTTGAAACGCAACGCAACACAACACAAGCAAGCACGTGCACACAACAAGCGCACACACAACACGCACCCTGCTGCAGGCTGTGCCTGTGGTGCCGGTGCGGGTGCGAGTGCTGGTGCTGCTCTCTTGTCTTCGGCCTCTGCCTTGCGCTTCCCAACAGCGCGCCGCTGTATTCTCTTTGGCGCAAACGCGGGCTCAAGCGGTGACTCATCGACACCAACGCCGCCGCCCACGCCAGACGCGGTGCTGTGGTTCGCGCGCGCACAAGTGGGTGAGTGAGTGAGTGTGTGTGTGTGTGCGTGCGTGTGTGTGTGTGTGTGTGTGTGTGTGTGTGTGTGTGTGTGT